AGCCCATCGTTGAGAAGTGCGGTTCTGCAATTAGAACCAATTAAACCGGATTTCTCCAAATCTCAGATGATCGAAAGAACCAAGAAGATGAATCCCTGCAGTCACGAAAGCTTTAAATCGAAAAATAAAAAGACAATTAAACCCGATTGTAAAAAACCCGACCGTGCCACCCTTGGTTCGGAGTGCAGCGTGGCGCTAACCGCTCCACCACCGCTCCACCATCGCTCCACCACACCAGCGCCTCCAGAACGTATCCCTCGCGAATATCGAGGGAATAACTTGTACCAAACGCACGTGCATTGGCACGCGTAAGCCGACCACGCACACCCACGTGCTGGCTGCAACACGAATCCGTATTGTTTTTTGTACACGTGGCCAGAGTCGAGTCCACGCGCTCAGCCACGTGCCATTTTCACTCGGGGGGGAGAGAGCCGCTTTCAACAACTAAAGATCGTTTCAATGATCGTATCGCAGCGTGCTGAACATCGTTTGTATCGAACGTGGCCAACCGTGCTCGGTACGCGGTGCGTGTGTGTTTGTGTCTGTCGTTGAAATAACACCGTGAGCCAGTGTCAGTCCACTGCTGGATGAAGGCCTACCCCAACGCACGCCGGGGGGGGGGGGGGGCACCCATATTTCACCACTTCATACTACACCACCCCATACTACACCACCCCATACCACTCCACCCACACCACCCACACCACCCATACTACACCACCCACACCACACCACCCATACCACACCACCCACACACACCACACCACCCACACCACACACACCACACCACCCATACTACACCACCCCATACTACACCACCCACACCACACCACCCATACCAACCCACCCACACCACCCACACCACACCACCTATACCACACCACCCACACCACACCAACCACACCACCCATACCACCCCACACCACACCACCCACACCACACCACCCACACCACGCACACCACACCACTCACACCACACCACCCATACCACACCACCCACACCACACCACCCACACCACTCACACCACACCACCCCACCCACACCACCCACACCACCCACACCACACCACTCACACCACACCAACCACACCACCCATACCACACCACCCACACCACACCACCCACACCACACCACCCACACCACACCACTCACACCACACCAACCACACCACCCATATCACACCACCCACGCCACCCCACCCACACCATCCCACACCACCCACCCCATCCCACACCACCCACACCACACCACCCACACCACCCACACTATCCCATACCACACCACCCATACCCCACCACCAATACCACACCACTCATACCCCACCACCAACACCACACCACCCATACTTCACCACGCTGGTCAGAGCAGGTTGGTTGAAGGGGGCAAATGTGTCCAGGTTTGGTTCAGTGCGCTCACCGCTGCACCACCGCTCGCTCCGACTAAACGGGTTGTCCCCCCCCCCCCACACACCTGCATGCCATTGGGTATAATTACCGCATGTTGAGCCATGTGCGTATGGAAAACTGTAATTAAAGACAATTCATTTTGAATGGCAAACGCACGAAATCAAAACATGTTACACAGCTCACATGAAATGTATCCGAGTCGCTTTAAACAAACAGCCCTCTGCCGAGATAAATTAGTGACATGACCCCCCCCCCCCCCAGCCAACCCGAGTTCGTCTCCCGACCGTGATATCCGAACCGGTCCGTGTGCACCTCTCCCCCCCCCCCCCCCCCCCCCCAGATGTACCAACTAGGCATTCACCAAACGTCGTTGAAGTCTGCTTCTAAATAAAAAAAAAATTAACCCGTAAAAACTAAGTTTTTCACTATAAATCCTTTATATGCGTGGCATCGGTTTTATTTTATTATTCATTTCTGTTTTTCTTGAGTAAGAGTTTCATTTTTATCACATTGGTATTTTAAATTAAATATGAAATTTTTTTTTCCTAAAAAGTGGAAAATTTTGGAACATTTTTTTCACGAAAATACATTGTCACGCACAACGAGTCTGTGTGCAAAATGTCAGCTCGATTGGATCACGGGAAGTGGGTTAAAAAACGACCGAAAGATTTGCACGGTCGTAAGCACGCAAGCAAGCAAGTGAACTTAATATAAAGGATTTAAAATAATCACCACCACAGTGTGGAGTGGTCTTGATCGAGCAGTGGATTATAACGAAGGGTTGGTTGCACATTACGAGTTTGAGTGAGTTGTGATACACAGGTGTGTGGGCAGCTACAATGTGGGACATTTCTTTGCCGGTATCAAAATATAAGAAGAGCTTTTAGCCTTTCTGGCAATGAAACAGCTGCGTTAAGAGGTTAAAACACCAAACGCTAATCCTGTTTCAAGGAATCGTGTCTGCGTTAACCACACGTACTTGCGGTGAACATGAAAACAATAGAAACATGCTCTGATAATGATGCATTGTCTTAGAAACGGATTGGTCCACTCCATATTCTTTGGGTCTTTCGGTAAAGTGACATAGATAGGTTTAAAAAATATATTAAATAAACAAAAAAAGTACGACATTTCGATCGCAAAATTCCGATTTATCACTAATAAACCCCAATGATCCGATCGAAAGTAGGGATTTCGATCGGATCATTGGGGGGGCACGTGCCACCCCCCCCCCGCCACTGGTCACTTTGCACTATCAACCCGGCGACCTGCGTTTGATTCGTGGCGAGCGTCAGTGGGTGAGGACCACCCGAGCGGGTCCGCGGTGAAGTATGGTCAAGCATGGCCCAATGATCGACAAGATTCGGGGGCGGGGGGGGGTGAGATGACTTCATCCAGCAGTGGATTGACATTCGAAGAGGAGCTGAGGCAGAGGTCGCAACCGGGTACCAGATACCCGTACCCTACCTGATACCCGGCTACCCGTACCCGGCCGGGTACGGGTAGCCGTTTGCGACCCTGGTGCGGCCGGGTACGGGTACGGGTAGGCCGTGAGTCACTGGTGAGTCACCGTTTGTCACTCATTTCCCAACGTCTTGTCTCTTCTCACAATTCAAGTTCCTAGAATCAACCCACACGCGCCTGCAACATGGCTTCATCCGACCTCAGCTCAGAGGTCGCAAACGGGTTTTGATTCCTTACCCGTACCCGTACGCGGCCGCACTAGGGTCGCAATCGGGTACCCGTACCCTATCCGATACCCAGCCGGGTACGGGTAGCCGGGTATCGGGTAGGGTACGGGTACCCGATTGCGACCCTGGTGCGGCCGCGTACGGGTAAGGAATCAAAACCCGTTTGCGACCTCTGAGCTGAGGTCGCTGCCCCGATACCCGCAGCGGACACACGCAGCGCGCCGGGGGAGCCAGCAGAGGGCGGTACGTGTCGGCGTTCTCAACCGCGGGTGCCTTGAAAACCTCGTGGCGAGTCAGTTCGGATGGACCGTCCCCCGTCACGGGAACGTGGAATTACCACCGGCACACGCTGCCAGTAGCGCAGTGCGACAATTGAGCGGGGAGATCGTTTAGCTTTCCGATTTGTTATTTTGCACTGAACTCGGATGGGATGGCTATGACGTGATGCCTGTTGTTGTCGCGTACAAGAACTTTTGCCACTGCATGAGAGGGTCGGTTGAGACAAAATTCTCCTTTTGCAAGGGAGACCTGGAATAGCAAAGTATGTACGAAAAATAAACCAGAAAATCTACGAAGCAAAAAACTACAATATATATGAATTCAATGCGCGGCAAAATTTGGCTATGCAATGGATTAAGGCAATTGTCACGGCGATTGCAGTCTGTGCGAGCCCGCGGGTCTGAATGCGAGTCGATGACTTGTACGTTTGTGGGGCTCGTTGTTATGGTTCTCTTTGCGAGGCTGGGTGTCTATGAGTCTCTGGGTCTTCATGCTAGCCTATGACTACATTAGTGTGTGGGTTCTCATCCTAGGGGTCTCACTGTTCGTCAGTGGTTCTCTGTGTGGGTCTGGGTGTCTCTGTGAGTCCGTGTCTCTCTGCGTGAATGTCTAGGTCTGTGTTACGGCTCTCTGTGTGGGTCTGGGTGTCTCTGTGATTCTGTCTCTCTGCGTGAGTGTCTAGGTCTGTGTTACGGCTCTCTGTGTGAGTCTGGGTGTCTCTGTGAGTCCGTGTCTCTCTGCATGAGTCACTAGGTCTGTGTTACGGCTCTCTGTGCGGGTTGCTTGGTCATAGGTCATAGGTCAGGGGTCGGCAACCTGCTCCTCCATCGCCGCATGCGGCGGGTCTTTGGCTCCTCCTTGCAGGCAGCCGTTTGAAAACAAATTTTTTTATCTCAAACATAACTTAACATAAAGACAATTGATTAAATATGGCAGGGAATGGGGTCACTAGGCAATGTCTTGGTGACAACAAACTGCACCGTTAAAGAATAAGTAAGGGGAGGGGGGAACTAAATGAACGCAGTTTATTCCATCACCTGTTTTGTTTATTTCAGTCGGAATGTGTGTTATCATCTGCTGTGTATACCTGCTGCAGTGTTTGTTTACAAGTAGCTCTACGTGTGATGCGGCTCCCCAACTAGTTTTAGCTAAGGCCAAAAGGAAAAAGTCTGTTCCCAAAATCTGAACATTTGTTCACACTCGAGGAACCCGATGAGCGGCAAAGCTCCTCTTCAACAGATGTCCTTTGTCAAGGCGCCCTTCCCCCTCCAACCCAGCTTAAATATACTCTGCCAAGCTTAGTGGTGTTCATTCAGACGCTGTCTTTCCGACAGACCTGTTCTTCACCTGAGGACGGCTGCTTGCGTTGTGGCCGAAACGTGAGAATTATTTTATTATGTTTTATTTTTATTATTTTATTATCTCCCTTCTACGTGACTTTATCGAAAGAACCAAGAAGATGAATCCCTGCGGTCACGAAAGCTTTAAATCGAAAAATGTCCAATGAGTTTTCACAGACCGTCGCTCCAGATTCACAGTTGCCAATGGGGCGTTTGAGCTCGTGCGAGCGTGCGTGGGGAGGTGGGGAGGCCTCACGGGACCGCCTTCGTCCGTGCCACGCAGGAGCGGGCGAGGACGGCGCCGCCGCCACGCCGACACAAGCGGAGCGCGAGCGGCTGGCGGCCTCCGTGTTGGAGGCGCTGCGCGGAGTGGCGCGCGCGCGTCACGCCCTCAAGCGCTTCTCCAGCATCTACGACCCCGGGGAGGGGGCACACCAGGTGGGTGCTGCAGGAGTGGTGGGGCGAGGACGGGCCCGCTACCTCCGTTACCCCCACCACCTCCAACCACCCCCACCACCTCCACCACCCCCACCACCCCCACCACCCCCACCACCCCCACCACGCCCACCACCTCCGCCACCCCCGCCACCCCCACCACCCCCGCCACCTCCACCAACCCCACCACCACCACCCCCACCACCTCCACCACCCCCACCACCTCCGCCACCCCCACCACCCCCGCCACCTCCACCAACCCCACCACCACCACCACCACCCCCACCACCCCCGCCACCCCCACCACCCCCGCCACCTCACCACCTCCACCACCTCCACAACCCCCACCACCTCCACCAACCCCACCACCACCACCACCCCCACCACCCCACCAACCCCACCACCACCACCTCCACCACCCCACCACCCCCCACCACCCCACCACCCCCACCACCCCACCACCCCCACCACCCCCACCACCCCACCACCACCACCACCTCCACCACCCCCACCACCCCCACCACCCCACTTGGCAGGTTCACCGTGCGCACCGTGGCAGCAGCAGCAGCAGCGGTGCAGCACCGCGGTGGCTAGGAGATGCTAACTACCTCGCCTGCTATGCAGGAGGTCGTGGGTTCGACCCCGACCCAGGCGCCTGCTGTTTGTGTGGAGTTTTGCACAGCACCAGTGAGAGCAGGAACTCAACCTGGCCTGGCCCTTCCCCAGGGCTTCTCGGCCTTCAATGAGTACCTGTTGAGACGTATAAACATCGGCGCCGGGGGAGACAAAGGCGGTTGGGCACCGTGCCGGCCTCACCACGCCCTCGTGCGGCCATTGCGGCCTCAATAGCTGCTCACCAACGGCACTTGCCACACGTTCATCGCGGCTCTCGCGCGTCTGCGCACGTGCCTTGGTCTCCGTGTGCTCGTGCAGCCGGCGACGTACCGGCCTCTGCTGAAGCAGATCCTGGATGAGATCTTCGCCGCTGAGCAGCCGGACAGCTCCGACATCGAGCACATGGCCAGTGGACTGACAGACCTACTCAAGACCGGCATCAGCATGTTCATGAAGGTGCGCGAGCGAGTAGGGGGGGGGGGCCCTGTAGTGAGTCCGTCGCCGGGCCCGAGCCGTCGTCGTCGTCATCATCATTCTCGCCATCGAACAAAGACGGTCACCGCATCGCGCGCTTTCAGACGTGCCTCTGCGGCCGTCTGGAACGCGCTTCCTGCCGATATTAGGAAGCCACTGGAGCGATGCACTTTAAAATCACCTCGATTGAAAACTAATTTCTTTAGAACCGCTTTATTGTGTTTGGTTTGTTGTCCTTCCGCCACACCTTCGTTTAGCGCGGTTGGCTTCGTAGTACGGTGTGAAAGAACAGCTGGTGCCAAATAAGGGCAGCATTCGGCATTGCGCGTGCGTGTTTGTGTCGTATTCGTGTGTCGTGTGTACGAGGCATGATGCGTGTTGCGTGCGCGAGGCATGTTTTTGTATTGCGTGCGTGCGTGATGCATGTTTGTGTGTCGCGAGCGTGACGCGTGTGTTTGGGTGCCGCACGCATGCTGCACGTTGGCGTGTGGCGTGCGTGTTTGTGTGTCGCGAACGTGACGCGTGTGTTTGTGTGCCACGCGCATGCTGCACGTTGGCGTGTGGCGTGCGTGTTTGTGTGTCGCGAGCATGACGTGTGTTTGTGTGCCGCGCGCATGCTGCACGTTGGCGTGTGGCGTGCGTGTTTGTGTGTCGTGCCGTGCAGGTGAGCCGTCCCAGGCCGGCCGACCACCCGCTCGTCGTCATCTTCGTCGTGGGCGGAGTGACGCCAGCCGAGATCAAGCTCGTCCGCGACTCCGTGACGGCGATGAAGGTCACGCAGCAGGTACGGGTCGGGGGGGGGTGACGGTGGTGGGGAACCCCGAGTGGTTGTTTTGTTTGTAGAAATTATTTCGCATCGTACGTAGCCAACCCGTGCTAATCGCAGGTGCGGGGGAAGGACCACCACCACCACACCGAACACGCCACCACCACACAGCACACTCCACCACCACACTGCACACTCTACCACCACTCCACCACACACCACCACCACACCGCACACTCCACCACCACCACTCCACCACCACACCTCACACTCCACCATAACACCACCACCACACCGCACACTCCACCACCACCACACCACCACACCGCACACTCCACCACCACAGCACCACCACACCGCACACTCCACCACCACCACTCCACCACCACCACCACACCGCACACTCCACCACCCCACCACCACCACACCACACACTCCACCACCATCCCACCACCACTCCACCACCACACACTCCACCACCACCCGACCACCACTCCACCACCACACCGCACACTCCACCACCACACCGCACACTCCACCACTACCACTCCACCACCACACCGCACACTCCACCACCATACCGCACACTCCACCACTACCACTCCACCACCACACCGCACACTCCACCACCACCCCACCACCACTCCACCACCACACCGCACACTCCACCACCACAGCACCACCACACCGCACACTCCACCACCACCCCACCACCACTCCACCACCACACCACACTCCACCACCACACCACCACCACTCCACCACTCCACCACCACCACACCACCACACTCAACCACCAATGTGCGTCTCAGCTGGTGCGGTGCCACTGTTTGGGGCTGGGGTAACCCTGCTGGATTATTCGGGTCAACAGTTTGTGTTGTTTCACATCCATCCACTACGCCGCCTCTAATTCCTCTGCCTCCTCGTTGCCGTGGCAGGTGCTGGTGATGTCCACGCGGCTCTTGCAGCCCAGCGATGTTCCCGTGCTCCTATTTTCAAAGGACCGACTCAATCCGACCGTTTAATGCGTCATGGGACTTGGTGCCTTTTCGTCCGTTCCGTCATTTTGCTATTCCTCGAGTCCCGACCATTGGCCTTCATTCCTTCAAGCGACATGTCGTGCCATAGTCCACTCTTAGTCGCCCTTTTTCTTGCGGTTCCGTTCCGATGACGTACCCTAAAATAACCTTATCGGTACCGATGCTCCCACTAGGCCACGCGGGAGGGCGTGGCACGGATTTGGCGCCAGCTATCGGTGTGGTCGTGTCGCTACACTTCTCCAGTGTGAGTGCTATGTCCTTAAAAACAGCGGCGCTGCTACGCCTCTCTAAATAATACAACTCTGAACCACTTGCGCGTGCCGAGATTCAGCGGTGAACGGGACACCCACCACGCGACTTGCAGACGTCTCGGAACGGCTGAAGCTGATACGATGATTGTGATTGCGACGGCTTGGGGGGGAGCCATTCGTCCTGTAGCACTGATCTTGGCTTATGATCATTCCCGCACACATTGGACGGACGGCTTTGCGAGTTGATATACCAAAGCGCGATCGAACCTTCTCATCTTGCCGTCATAATTTTGCACCAATTAATGGACTGCATTTGTATAAAATATATAACTATCTTTGCAGATTACTGGCTAATCTTATACAAGACCACATGTAGTTGAAAGTGCCTCCGTGCCCAAACCAGCCATTGGTTATTGAGAAATCGATTTCTACGATAGATCAACCTCTAGAATTATAGATCAAATCTATTGTAGGACTTGTAGCTCACGTGGTATGCGGCCACAGCACCAGGTACGCAGAGTTGCAGTCGATGATACTAGAAATCCAAATTAGCAAGATTCTTAATTCAAAGTTACTTTATAAAGGGAAGGAAAAGTCGACTGATGTGCAATGAGTTTTACCATCACTGCACTCAACTTCCACACGGGGACATGGATGTTGACAAGTTCAAAAAGGTGGAAAAGTAGTTGACTGCATTGGACGAACACTAAACAATTAACTTGTAACGAGCGCAAGTTCGTGGTCAATTTGTCAGTGGAGCGCTGTGCCTCAGTCCAAAAGCCCGGAGCAGATATTCCAATCGTCGGTATCACCCGAGGTGGCCATTGATCGGTGTTGTCAATAACCGTGAATTATGATCTACCATTTGTAATGATTATCAATAAACTTAAAACAAATAAACTGGTACTGCTAGTTTTTTTTTCTCTCCACTCCAGGTGGTTCCTACTTCTGCTCTGGCTCGTGATGTTCATGAATGGGTCACTGGACATGCTCGATGTGCAACTACATAAACGTAATTCTAGCCACGCAAAGCTTTAACCTTTGCGTCACAAGTGCAGAGTTGGTGTAGTGGGAAGAGTTTCGTGCAGCGACTGAAGTGATGGTAGTTGCATCCCGTTGAAAATCTGGGCACTTTAATGGATAACAAAGTTGAACATCCGACTGGGTTGTGTGCAGGGAAAGACGTGCGCTCCAGCAGACTTGCACAACTTTTTCTGAACGGGGATAAAACCATGGGTAGGATGGCGCAAAGTGAATGTGAACGCCAAGCTTTGCCGTGTGACCTTCTAAACTGCAACATTGTCAATGGAAATAAACTTTGGTTTAAAATGTAATGAACCGTTTCAACTATTTGCATGCACTACAGGTAATTACCACAAAGTGGCCAGCCTTGAGATAAGCCGTTCGATCTCCTATGGGCTTAACAGCTTCCCCAAGTTAACTGCTCTTTCACATGTAGACATTTTCCGAGTTAAATCGAATATGCACTCGCTGTGTTTTAGCCATGGCCACAGACCGTGACAATCATTACGTCTTTTGAAATACGTCATCAACCAGGTTAGTGTTGTTGGCCGACTGGTTTGGATCACATTGTTTCTAAGGTTTGCCGAGTTCACATCTCCCCATCTTCCTGCTGTACTTGCCTCCATGCAGTTTGGCGTTCTCTATGTGCGTGATGTCCCTGTGTCCTTGCTGTTTTACCCCAATTCCACCTGATGAGCGCTCGTGTTGCGTTCGAAACGTCGTGATTTATTTTAATATAATTTTAATTTATTTATTTCTATTTTATTTCCACATACAGTAGAATCTCTGGTCACGAACGCTTCTGCCCACGACCAAATCAGGTTACGACCAAAAAAATTCACATTTTTGAATCTGGTCACAAACACGGGTGACGATCAAGCATGGCCGCAGCCGATTTCCTCTTCCGCGCGCCAAATTTCCTGTTTGTTTACAACACAAAGCGTAACAGTTATATATATAAGTTGTTATATGTGGAAAGCTGTAAATCTTATAACTTTCTTCCACAATGTACATTTTAACCAAACCACACGCACGTAACACTAGGAGCTCGACGCACACAACCACCCATGCACACTCGGCGCCGACAAAGCCACGGCACTCGTTCGGGGCGCGGTACGGTTCGACCATTCTTTATTGACAGGGACAGGCAGAGAGAGAGGAGAGGGGTGGGATGGAGTCTTCTCTCCACTCCCCTTTACGCCATGAACTCGTAGGGAATGGGCTCCAGCAACTCCGGCGTGTTGTTCTTGGTGCTGACAAAGTGAGCCACACGAGGCTGGGCTGGCTGCAGACGGTGGGGGGGGGGGGGGGGTGAGGGTCACGTGCAGAAATAACACGCAAAGGCAGTCAAGCACATGTCGTTCCAAGAGAAACTTTGTTATTTTAAATTATAAGCGAGGTTTTTTTTCTGCCAAGCGCCAATTAACATTGTAGCGTCACGTTCACGTCAAGATAAGTAACATCCATCTGGAACTCATAGCGAGCACTGCAACGTCACGTTGTTTAAGACATCCACTTGACTCAACATGTCTGTAGCACTGTGCGCTTAGGAATCTCCTGGAATACGGGCACAGCAAACCACCAGGTCCGTGTTTGAACTTGCAACTTTAAGAGTCTATAACCACGCATCACCACCAGGCAGGGTACGCGCACACACACTCTAAAAATATGCAATCTATCACCTACAATAACAATTTCGTATTACATATCACGTCTAAAATGTGACTGCATCTCAAGATGCTATACAGAAGACACGGCGGTGACCATATTTATTTTATAGAGCCAAAGTCAACGGTAGAGGGGGGGGGAGATGTTATTCCTGGGGAGCCCATAGCAGACTGCGTCGGTGGAAGCAATTCCTAACATTGGCGGGCAGCAGATTGATGCAAGTCTGCGAGTCAAGTTTGAATGCATCGATGAAGCAAGCCAATGAAGCTCAACTACGACAGCCACCTGAAGACGATTGCCTGTGTTGCGATCAAAACGTCGCGATCTATTCTTTTTTTATCTACACGACTTTCCCGAAAGACCAAAAGACCACTGCAGCCATTTAAACCTGCCAACTGGGACACAAATAATCATTCGAGTCTGTCAATCGTGTTGGCTTGGGGCACATCGAGCGTCCAAAGCTTCGTTGACGCTTCAAAAGCCGCATTGTGGTTGGCCGGTTAGTTTTGTTCTTGCTGCATTTTAAGCGACGCGACTCAACGCGACTGAGCGATCTTTGCCACGTGAACGCGGCACAAATCTGCAGTCTGGCTGCACGCGTACATAACGCCGTGGTTTGTTTTTTCCCTCCCCAAACGTGTCGAAAGCCACGCGCAGCTCCAACGGGTCACCGCTGTTTCCTTAGACAGGATCCAGAGTCGGGCAGTTAGAACCCTTCGACTCTAGGTTTTATAAGGAATCTTTCTTTACCCCCCGTTTGATAACCCACTTTAGATATGAAATAAATCTAAAATGGAAACGTGAAAGGGGGTTTCAAATGCAGATGCATTCCAAATGCAGAGCAGTACCAACACTTGCCTCATGAATGCGCCACCACTGCACACAAGTAAACTATTCTGAAGGTTTCATTTTTTAAATTAAATCTTTGCTACGGCTGCACCTATCACAACGTGTTCATATCTTGCATGCACTACTGCACTGCCACTTTGGTAGCTTGCTTGACAGCTCAAGATCGACACCAAGATTATTTTTTGATTTAAAACTTTCGTGACTGCAGGGATTCATATTCTTGGTTCTTTCGGATTTCACACCCGATGATGATTGCTTGTGTTGCAGTTGAAAAGTCCTGAGAATTTTATAGGTTTATATTATTATTTTATTATTTCCCTTCTACGTGACTTTACCGAAAGGACCAAGAATACCAAGATTAGTGTTACGCTGCACGCACACTTGTACACGCTCCAATATAAGAACAATTTTAAATAATGGTTTTCTTTAAGGTTTTTAGCTTTTGCTTCTCCACGCCTCCTCGCTATCATAATGTAACAGCTCTCCCAGAATTGCATTAAAACATCCACATTTAGAAGTCTTGAAAAAGCAGATCGCCCACGGTGAGACGCCTTCCCATCGCTACATACCAAACACCACGTGGTGCATCGTCTCATACACCCCGATATTGATGTAGTCATTGCCTTTAAATACAACTGAACTTGGTTTGGCCGCATTAAATGAAACAACATTTATTTACTTCATGTGCAGTCACTGGTGACAGGACTGAGACCACCCAGCCGCTACACTTGAGAAGCAACGCTTTGTAACAGATGGCTGCCTGGGATTGAACCCAGGTTTCCTTGGTGGAGCCAGCTCAATGATTCCAGAACTTTATTAGCCCCCGAGACACCAGGCCACTTCCACAATGTGCCTTGTTTTACGATGTCGGTCGCAATCAGGGCAACACCAAAATATATTTTCCCCACTGTAGAACAACTTTGGCAACTTTTCCTCCACGCAAAAGCACAAGAGTTATCAAGCTCCGGGAGGTTTCATTCGGACGTCTTTCCTTCTCCGCACTGGCCCACGTACAGATTCCCCCCCCTCCTACCGAGCGCTGTGTTGGGAGCCAACTCAACGGAGCCTCCCTCCCCAAGTTAAACTGATCACCAGTACAGTAGAAACTAGAATTGCAGTCAAGAGCAAAGTTCGCTACGTGCCACAACACCGATTCAGACACGCTGTTAAGACCGCAACCGCTTTGCGGGGTCTGCGGATTCATGCGCGTTTTAACGTTCATCTTCTGGGAAGCGTCATTACATCTCGGCGAGTAGCGGCTAAACCAGAACACCTCTGCAAAACAGAACAGCCACGGCTCAATCTTGCAAGGGACACTTGACATCCCATGCTGTGTCTGTAATGAAACTCGCTAACTAAACGAATGTCTGGCCAACTGTGATCAGAGCGCTTGAACTCTCAATTTTAATGATGCAGAGTTCAAATTCTGATCGGGTGTTATCAATACATCCCTTTTTCCCCTCTGTTGGGATAAATTAAATACCACTTTTTGAAAAGTAAACTTGTGGCTTGCCCTGTGGACAGACTCATCACTGCCTTATGGAAATTAAATCTTCTCCACAGTCTTAGGACCACCAACGAAGATAAACACCGCCAAAGATTTGTTTGAGTTTGCGCCGTTTTTTTTACGCATGTTCGGTCAATAATTCATGCAAACCAAACTTAAGTCCCTTAAAATATGCACGGCTCAGCCGAAAGCTGCACTGAACCTCAAACATGAAAATAGTGGATTAAATTATAATTCAATTGAGGCAGTTTGCGAGATATATCCCTTCAAGCCTGCCATAACGGGCTTCTGCAAACAGCCTACATCTACAGGGAAGCATTAACTCTTAAACGCACCACACCACTTTTTTCCATGCCTTCATTGGCAAATTGGAGCTTGCATTTATTTTAAAAGTAGTTTAGATGCTATTATTAACTTTCTTCTGTCATTATAAAGCAGCCTGCTGTCCCAGGCGGGTTAAAAATGGAAAAACTAAAATGTAATTGGCGTTGTTTGTATATTTTGTTTAACTGTATGTTACATTTGAAAACGTTCAAATGTGCACGCTTTTTATTACCCGGTAAAAACAAGCTACTGCCTGCCAACTTTTTGACACCAAGGCCCCACCGGTGCAGCTCTTTATTAATTCAGCGGCCGCGCCGTGACACCAACCAGTAAATGTAAACCTACAAATGTTATTGTTTCTTCCTCTGCCGCACCAAAATATATGGCATCCGATCACAGTTTATGGAAAACTTTCTGGTAAGAGAATGCGCGGCGGAGGGGCACATTCAATTGAACTCTGAAAGGAGAGGCCTCGCATCAAGATGAAAGTGGGGTTTGACATCAGAATATAAGCTGTCCCACTTTTCACACCAAAACCTCAATGCAAACACAATAAATGCTACAATCACAAGGACATATCAAATCAAAGTGCCTTTGACAAAAAATCGAATTGCCTCCCTCGCTCAAAAGGGCACGAGGCATTGCTCATCTTCACCGACAGCCATGGTGGAACGTCCACGTTGATATGGCTGTGGAAACCAGGCAGTTAAGAATGCAAGCCAATGCATAATATATAGGTTTCGTTGCGAGGCGCACTGCATAAAGCCATCAGGCAGCGGAATAGATTTTTTCGTACAGCATTACTACAGTTCTGCCAAATTAGTGTTTGGCTCAAGGGAGAAGCCAGACCGTGCAAGGTGGTAGGAGGGAAGTAGGGAGTATGCACGACCGAGATGAAAAGCAGAGTTAATTAAAGAGGGTGACACACTGCACAGATTGACAAGTGAAACCAAGATGGGGGGGGGGGCAGAGGAGGGATTTGCAACAAGCCGGGGAGGGCAGTCCACCAAGCATTGCTTGAAAGCAAGGCCCGTTAGCCTGGGCCTCAACAGCAGCAGGGAGCTGCATGGGTGGACAGCCGTAGGGGGACAGGCAGCTGCAGACACTGGAGCCAGCTGAGGAGGGGCGGCGACCTCCCACTCAGCAGAAGCGAGAGTCACTCGAGGATTGACAAAATGCACGAACTGCACGCGTGCCCCTCTGTCGGTGTGTGGATTTTAAACTTAACACCAGTCTGGAAATGTGACCAAGGGTCTTACCAAGCACAAGCATTGCAATGCAGCCTCATCTTGATGAGGGAGCCCTGAAAGAGTTTGTGCAAATTCCACATTCCTATGGTGGCAGCCAGTCTCTCCCCATGTGACAACCGTTCTGATATCCCCACCAAATGGCGCTTATTTAAATCGACTCCAGGAAAGTTGACAGCCAGAGTCAATCCCCGAAACAGGAAATTAACGGATTGAGTTGAGAACAGTTAACGGCGATCGCGCGCCCCGCCGGGTACATGTGCAATGCGCGCACTCAAGTTTACCAGAAATTTTTTTTTTAAATATAACGAAAATTACCCGACACGTAAACACACCTCACTGTAATAATTGGATGAGACGACACTACCAGCTGCCACTGCAGCCTCGTAAGCCAAGGGGCACATTCAATGCCCTCCGACGAGCCATGGCGGCTTGTGGGCTGGCGCTAATCCGCTTGTAATCCGCGCTGCCTCCCGTAATTACACGGCAGCCAAGCTCAAAGGGAAGGCACACGGCAACCGCGCAGACTCAACCTCGGGGCCAGTGGACGAACCGAGGCAGCAGCCGCGGTTAAAACGAAGGGGGCAGGGGGGGGAGCTCTCCCCCCGAGGTTTGATTTGCAAAAGGTCCCAACAACGTCCAGTGCCAAGTGGAGCCAGCGAAGTGGAGCCAGCCCAGTTCGCTCGCCGGTATACTGCACACGGGTAGACTAACCAAACTAGGCGCAGTTTGGCTTCACAGTGGACGTTAAATATACCGTGAGGTCATTCGAGAAGGATTAGGCCCACCACGCAAGCTGGCATTGCGATCGAAATTTTGCCTGCAGATTGCCTCGCAGGGTAAAACCACATAGCAAGATTGCCCCCTAATGGAAGACTGTCTGTGAAAGAAAGCACCTTCGTAATAGCCTTCTGCTATAACAATGGTCCAATACCATGTGCTGATCTATAAATTGTATTATTAAGGCAAAGGTGGAGAATCTACAGCCAACTTCCATTTGACTAAGTCTACCACTTTGAAACAGCCCATAAACAATATTTATCCGTCGGTGCAACCATCTTAGCTGCACTCATCTGGAACTAGAGGGTACTATTTTTCCCCAGACAACGCTGCGTTTCTAACATCTCGCCACGGTGGTGAGATGTTAATTCCCTCGACTGGTATGCAGCTCATGGGTTCGATCCAGACCCTGACATCTGTGTATTTGAAGTTTGCGTGTTTTAGAGTCTTTGGCTGCGATACATTTCCACGTGAAGAGCCACTTCGTTAAGCGATCATGTGGCCAGGCCGCTTCTGAAAAAGCACTAGATAGCGCAGTCGGCCTTACCTGGTAAAATTATAAAATAATAATTTGTGCACCTTCCGTCGTCGCAAGGGCTTCTTGGCGCGACACAATATACTGAACGTGTTATTCAACTATTTTTTTTTCAACGAAGCGGCCCATTGTTACGTGGACATAAAACAAAACTTTTTTTTATCTTAACAGGTAAAACCCACTGAGTTATTAACTTATTTTCCATCACAAATGAGAGCTCAACCAAGCGGCTTAGCACATGGAAATTTACAGCAACAGGCAAATACTCTATAAACGCGTGATGTTCATTCTCAATATGGAGGAAATAACCACCAGAGGACCCGCAGAAAAACCCACGCAACCACGTCGAGAGAGACAAGCAAACGCCAAATCTACAGCAGGCACATCAGGGGTCGGGGATCGAACCCACGTCCTCCTGCATCGAACCCAGGTCCTCCTGCATCGAACCCACGTCCTCCTGCATACCAGGGCGAGGGGAACGCACAGCAGACGCACGTTTGACCGCCACGACCCTGGCACGTTACCTGGCGTTTCAGGGTCACCCACTCGCCCGCCAGCTTCGCCTTATCCTTCTTCAGCTCGTTCTCCTTGACGCGCTTGAGGAAGCTGTCGCGGCTCTTCGAGTGCTTCACGTGCTCAATGCGCACGTTGATTCGCTTGGCTAGGACCTTGCCCCTGCGCAACAGCGGGCACACGGTGGGGGCGGGACAAATGCGATGTAACGGTTACAAGGTCGTTCAGTGGTGGGTGGACAAAAACAAATACAGGAGAACCATAGGAGTCATCGTGGGTGGGCAGGAAAGATTATCACGGCGAAATGGTGCCGACAGAACCACAGCCATCGCTTCCTTTCCTTCGGCCAGATCACACACCGCTGATGCATTGTCACAACTACCTGATCTCCAAGCCTTGTTCCAACAGCTACCCACTGTTGCCATTTGGTGTTCCACTCAAGTCAACGGATCCTTCCAAGACGACTCTTGGTCTCATCATCATCACCACCATCTGGCTTTAGGTCATCCGCCTGGTTCGTGACCTCTGGGTGCCACCGATGGCTGCGTTGATAAGCTGCCGTTCACCCTGCACGTGCTCCAACTACCGCAACCTCTTTTAACAATAAGTTTTACCCCTTTCTGGCAATAAAACAGTTGTGTCAAGATGTTAAAACACCAAACGGGATCCTTATTCAAGGAATCGTGTCTGCATTAACCACACGTATTTGTGGTGAACATGCAAACAAAAAACAATCCTTGAATAAGGATTCCGTTTGGCGTTTTAACATCTTGACACCCGTTTTATTTCCAGAAAGGGTAAAACTTATTGTTATATTCTAATACTGTCAAAAAAGTCCCATATTATTACCGCAACCTCCTCTTCCACATCACGTATAAGACGGGATTCATTCCACATTCGATTTGCAACAGCACTTTTATCTTCTAGATTTGACGTTTTCGTGACTGCAAAGATCCACACTCTTTGGATTTTTCGGTAAAGTCACGTAGGTGAAAAGAAAACAAATAAATTAGAAAACAAATAAATTAAATCACGACGTTTCGGAGGCAACACAAGCTTCCGTCTTTGTGTTGCCTCCGAAACGTCGTAATCTAATTTATTTGTTTTCTTTTAACCTACGCCACTTTTATCTTGCCATAAAATCCCTTCCGCCCTCGGTTGTGTATTCAAATGCAACAAAAAGATGTAGGTACATTTTCAACCATCATCCATACGGTCACAATGCTGCCATTAGGGGGCAGCCTAGTGCGGAAATTTCGTGTAAACTACCAAAAAATAATATTTGAGACAGTGACCTCAGGTGAAAGAGCAGCCCAGTGTATGCTTGTGTCATCGTCCACTCATTAAACATTCTGAGCCAATTTTTAGTTACCTATTTTTATGTTCTAACAGAATACCACCCTGAAAGTGTAACCGTAGCATTCCAGCAAAGCTCTTTAAACACAGACAACAAAAGATACGAGTAGAGATGAGTCTAAAGTAGGCTGTGGGCCATGACCTGGTTAAATAAAGGCTAATCAGTTGTATATAAAGTGCTTTGACCGAGAGGAGCCAATCCAAGCAGAACCCAGAGGGGCATTCAGCCCGGGGGGGGGGGCTGGCGTTTCAAGGAGAAATGAGGTGATTTCAGTAATTGTGGATAATCCGATTGCTTTCACGTGAATTGGCAAACTGTGAGCTTATCCAACAGCAGGGTCTGCTAAATGCAATGGTGGAGGGTGGGGGGTTGAGATTATCAGCACGGACAGCACCCAAAACAGAACACAACGACGACAAAGAAATACAACTAAACCACACACACAGCCTGGACAGACTGTTGAGGCAAGTGCTGTTAGCGAGTAGCACCTATGAAGGCCGGCACGGCACACGAGGGAGTGGGTGGCCAGCACCACGCCCGACCACCTTTGTCTCCTTAGTCGCAATGTTTACACACCGCACCAGGTACTTATTTGAGGCTGAGTCGACCTAGGGGAGGCCCAGGACCGGTTCAGATAATCGTCACTGGTGGTGTTGGCCGTGAGCGGGAATCTAGCTCGGGTCGCCGGATTTGTAACGCAGCGTAGCGCTAACCACACACACACATCCAGGCGCTGACACAAACATCCCATCAAAGCGCAACAAAATGGAAAATGTTATCGGAGGTGATGCATCTTCCAGCCTTGGAATCGCACACCGTTCTTCAAAGTCCCACAAATTTCTGATGTTACAGTTCTCAGGATGTTTTAAGTTGATACTGTTGAACAAACGCAATCCACAAAACAGCTCTTATCTTGTAGCTACATACATCATATCCGTTTACCCCGGGATGTCCCAACATTATCGTGAACATTCTTTCGTGAGACAAAAGGGCTTTAAAATCAGCCAGGAGCATCAGGAGTAATGTCACTACAGCAAGTGGCACTGTCAGTGATAAAGCAACACCGCGGGGGGGGGGGGGGAAGAGCTCCCCACTGATTTGCCGTCTTTTTGTCAGAGCTGGTGGCACAGTTTAGATATGTAATCCCCCTAAGGTGAATAAAAAAAGCCAAATTAAATACAGTCCCTTGCATGCCAATGTAGATTTTTCATAGCTGTTTGAGGATTGACACTGAACTTCTGATTGTGAAACGAATCGTAAAAGACGCACTGACCTATCACCTTTTTAAAAATAACCTAGGGATTTCAACAATTTAGAGGTCATAGCATTCCTTGATGTCTACAAAGTTTCAACATCTGCCTGCTAAACTCAATTTGCATCGCTGAACGGCCAGGTTACTCAAAGCGTTCCACTGACAGCCCTCTCGGTTGAATGACTCCTACGAGATTCCCTATTCTTTCAGAGTATCGTCGCTTTTATCGCCCGAGCTGCATATGTCTCCTCAGACAGGATCCAGAGCGAGGCGGTTTCCTCCTCGGCACTGGGTTTATAGAAGGACTTTCCTCTTCCCCTTTTAATGGCCACGTTAAATATGGTGGATTTATGTGGCAAAGTGAAAGGGGGTGGGGGTGTGAAATCTGAACACTTGACTACAAGTTAAACAAGTAGAGGCGTTAGAGTTGATGGTCACTAAAACGAGGCTGGGTGCATTATACATGGCAGATGATGATAACCAGTTAGATACAAGAGATGGGATGATTGATCTTATGGTCACAATTGTGTTTTCTGCCGTAGATGTATGACCTTCACTCTTAGATGGAGTCTATCATTACTCTGAGCTGTGAGCTTTAAGTTAAATCTCCTAAGGACAACAAACACGAGACTTTTATTGGACATATTGTGCCGACAAGTCTTGAAATTAGAGTGAAATATATCCATCATTTCAAAACAACGAAGTGTGTATTTCAACAGAAAATACCGTTCTTGAAATTTCCAAATTTATTTTAAGCCCGATATCTCCTATATAAATATTGGCTCTCCGATGGAATGACAGAAACCTTCAGCAACTCCACCCACCGGTAACTCCACAGCCCCAAGTCTCCTTCGGGGGGTAAACCCTGCTGCGTGTGACTTTGAGCACTCTTCACACAGTGCACAATGCACGTTTACACGACGCAACTCGGCACCGCGCTCATCAACCAGCGAGAGGAGGGCGGCAAGAACCAGGCGAGGGGAAGGAAGAGGGGTCCGGGCGAGACGAGTTCGGCAAGGACGTACTTGACCTGCTTGTTGACGATGACTCCGACCGCGTGCTGCGTAATGTTGAACACGCGGCCCGTCTTGCCGTGGTAGCACTTGTGCGGCATGCCCTGCTGCACCGTGCCTGTTCCCTGTAGCGCAGCCACAGCGCGCACGCACACACGTGGTCAAGGGGGATTCGTGCAGAGCCCCGGGAGTCGTCCATTTGGAGTTCTCAAGCATTCCGCAGCATGGTTTCAATTTTAACACTGCACCGCTGTGGAAAGTATCATCGTCTTTTAAGAGAATACTATGAAAGATAATAAAGTAGCACAAAAATGGATTTGGTCGATACCACCCTTTGTCAATTCACTGCTGCATGGATGAAGGGCACCCCACGTCACAAGGGTTATTGGACCATACTTTACCACGCTGTTCCATGTTCATTGGTGAAGGGCAATGTCGGATAAGACTCGCCATATGGTATTAGCCTTGGCCGGGAATCAAACTCTGAATTTGGCTTCAAGAGCAAATAAAACACCACCCTACACTGGCAGCAGAAGAATGACGAAGTCCAGGACTCGCATACAAGTTGTTTCCTCAGACAGGATCCAAAGGGAAGTTGTAAAGCCTCTCCCACTCTGGGTTTTTAAAAGGACTTTGCTCTGCCCCCTCCTTTGTAGCCACACAGACACTTAAAGACCGATAGGCAATTTAATAAAGGATGGGCTGATCGTCATTAACTGCATGCAATGCACCAATCGTGCTCTCATAAGCCACAATTCAATCAGCACCATGAAATTTTCTGCTACGGAAAGGTTCGCGTCTTAACACTTTGAACGTGCTGCAACTCACTACACATCCAATCAATGACACCAGTGTCTAAGGGAGCGATGTTGTTAATGATGATGCATCATTTCGGCGATTGTTACGACCACACTACCACACTGGTCAGCGCGGGTTGGGCGAAGGGTGGGCAGGAACCTTCGGGTAACACTCACCACTGACGTGAGCTGTGGCTGGGAATCGAATTGGAGGTTGCCGGATCAATATTGCACTTCGATTACCCACTGCGCCACCACTTAATTCCCAGTAGACTGTTTCAGGGATAATTTCATTTTCATAAATTTTTTTTATTCCCTTTATTTTGCATTATTATTTTTCTATCTACGTGACTTTACCGAGTGAACCAAAGAATATGAATTCCTGCAGTCACCGAAAGTTTTAGGTCAAAATTGAATGCGAGGGAGTTTAGCGGATTGATGCTTCTGCGCCGTTTGTTTCTCACTCTTTTAATGCCACTACCACGGCCAATGTTCCCACAAACGTCAAGACCTTTACGCCACCACCAATGTCGAGGAATCGCCAGTCAAAATTAACTGTTTTTGCTCACCCATACTGCGTTCAACCACTATTTTGTAGCCCATCGACCCTACTTCCCTCACACTGGAACTACCTCTGATTGTTCTTTGACAAGTTAATGGAACCATGCTCAATTCAAGAAACGTTGCGGATTGTCTGTTTGACAACCATTTGTACTCTCAGTTACTGGCCACTTTAGATTCCTGCTGTAGCGCCTCCTTTATGGAACTTCAACGAAATGGTCCTTGGGAGGAATGGAGGACTGAGATGACTTACAGTAAGATTTCTGCTTGCAATCTTCTGATGGCAAGCCAAGTATTTTAACTGTGGCACTTTTAATCCGTGAATGTTAGGCAATGGCAAAGTTAATTTTGCTCTATACTCGTGCACCATTACCAATGCAGACCCATAACTTTATCTGTTATGTCTTCGTACGTTGGCCAAACATGGGCGCTGGGTGGCGAGATGTTAACTACCGCGCCTGGTTTACAGGTCGTGGGTTCGATCCCAACCTTGACGCCTGCTGTATATTTTTAGTGCACGTGTTCTCTCCCCGTGGTTGCGTGGATTTTTGTCCGGGTCTTCCGGTTTTTCCCTCCACGTTTAAAACACAAGTTTAGAGTATTTGGCTGCTATAAATTTCCACATAACCCACTTCGTTGAGCTACCGTTTGTGGCCAGGTCGATTTTGAAAAAAAAGAGCTATATAGTTCAGCGGGGGCCTTACCTAGTAAAATAAAATCAAACTAAATGCACCGTCAAACAAATGCATGCTGCACAAACGAACGGAAAAACCTCAATACCCTCACGGAAGCACTCAAACGTGCAGAGCAGCCTCACTTTGCCACCACTCTTTATAAGAAATAACCTTTCAATAAAACCTTAATTTTGTAATAATAAAAAGATAACCCCTAAAAAACACGTCCTCAGAACCAGCAGGAAAATACTCTTGAAACCAATGTTGCATGGCCGTGAGTGTATAAATGTTGGCAGACACTATTTTAATTGGCCGAGTAATCCAGGTCTAATAATAACCTGGTAATGTTTGCATACGAATCAGCGTTTCCTGGAAATTGTCCGCAATGAGATGCCTTTAATTGGCAAATTTGATCCAAATGGAATGAAAATTATAATACTCAAACACCTGTAACGTTGATAAAACTGAATATTCCTACGCTCTGGGTTATTATCTTACCCTTCTCTATGGCTCTCAGCCTTTAAAGAGAATTAATCAGCTCACCAACATTTTTTTTAAGCCAACAAGCTGATTACCATTAAAAATCCACAGCCACTAGGCTGTGTGGGAAAGGTAGATATTTGGTCCTGCCTGTCCAGCAAGATAAGTAAACGCAAAGGATGTGTCGAGTCACGGGCATTAGGGATTATAGGCTGGCTAGTTGAGCTTCACATCATCCACTCTTTGTTGTCGAGCAAAATTACACCACGTCATACAAGTCCAATGCCACAGTTGCTATGAAAGCCAACTGACGTGACACGAAATAAATGGTATAAGAAATGTGCACCGATTTAAAAACTAGGCTTACGTAATATTTTGATTTGGGAAATCTGAAAACTCAAGCTTAGTCATCACCGGTTGTTCCATTGATGATTATTGTGGTAAGTTACCATTAATTATTTTCACAAACAAGCAACATCTCCATAAGATAGGATTTTTTTGGTTAGATCGCGTACATATAAATGTGTCGTTAAACCCGTCACCACCCGACACAGCCAATTTGTAAGGTTTGTCACGTAAACAGAAGATGCCAATTCGTTACTAGTCCAGCACACCGGTGTGTTGGAGAGCAAATCCACAACATTTACAATCTGAGTACGACATTTCGCCAGGAAATAACGAGCATCATCAGGCGGAAAGCCAGATTTGTGGAGAAATCCTCCTGTTTCGTTCCTTCGAGAGATAGATGTGATGACGTCAATTGTATTAGCATCATCTCCTTTAAAAGCCACATCAGCATATGCACTTCATATTCATGCATCACCTCCATTACCACCAAACATCACAGAAGAACAATGTTATGGTTTACACACTCCACAGCCAACGATGGGAGAAGCCTCACCTTGATGTCAACTATGTCCCCCTTCTTGTAGATTTTCATATACGTTGAAAGTGGGATAGGGCCTGAAATGGTCAAAAAAGCACAACGTAAACTTACAAGCACAGCAAATATAACGGCCACCTCCTACAGTGGTAGCAGAAGAATGACCATCAAGCATAGAGTTCACACACACAAGCTGTTTCCTCAGACAGGATCCAAAGGGAAGTTGTAAATCCTCTCCCACTCTGGGTTTTTAAAAGGACTTTGCTCTGCCCCCTCCTTTGAAGCCACACAGACACTTAAAGACCGATAGGCAATTTAATAAAGGATGGGCTGATCGTCATTAACCACAAAGCACCAACACCGCTGTAGTATATACAAATGAAACTTTTAATCGGCATCGTCAGACACACATTATAGATTACAATAATCTATATAAAAATAAATGGTGCATTACAATAACCAATTTCTTTCACACTTGTTTTTAACGCCACAGTAACATTTCAAGGACATTATTTTAGAATTGTGGTCGCAATAGCATAAAACTGCATGCAGCTGCTCAGCTCCTGTCTAAACAAACATTAAATGTAAGTGGAGTTAACCGATGTATTGTTAATTAACCAGACCCGAATGCTTCACAACTCACATATAAAATGTGTCCGTCTACATTAGGGACCAATATTCCCAGCAGCATTTGATAAGTGGAACTCTCTACTGGTTTATAAACATTGGTTTAGAGGGCCCATAGGCTGATGGGACTAAAGACGTTAATTTGTCGTAAAAAAATACAACTGTCCATTTCATTATCTACAATCCTGCAGGACAACGCAGGATACATTAAGTACAAGTTTCCTGTATTGTGTGTACGTGGGACAAACGGCTAAACATTGGTTAAGGATGCGTACCATGCTTGCGGAAGGACCTGGCAAACATGTACCGGGTCCCCCGGCGCTTGCCATGTGTCTTGCCCATGTTTCCTGCAGAGAGAACACAAGCTTAGGATAATAAAACGACTGTAATTCACGGTCACTCATTAAAGTACAGGTGCTAGTCTAATGCCTGCAGGGGTGGCAATAGTTGTTAACACCTGAGCCTCGGCCAGATTCCCGACTTAGGCACCCCCTTTTCCTGCGTGGCGTTTTTTTTTATTCTTCCCCCCGTTAAACATGGATTCTCAGTTTTCCTCCCATAGCGATAAAAACAATGCGACAATTGGCCAAATATACCAATTTGTTCATACGTGGAAAGTCGCACAGGGCCTGAAACAGTCAAAGGTAAATCTGGCTTTGGGATCACAGCAAATAAAGCCCCATCGCTGCACTGGTGAGCAGAATGATTCAAACCCAGGACTAGCACACAAGTTGTTTCCTCAGACAGGATCCAAAGGGAAGTTGTAAATCCTCTCCCACTCTGGGTTTTTAAAAGGACTTTGCTTTGCCCCGTCCTTTGTAGCCACACAGACACTTAAAGACCGATAGGCAATTTAATATAGGAGGGGCTGATTCGTCATTACCAACTCAGCATTGACCCCGCTTAAGTACAGTACAAAGTTACACTTTAATAAGTTGAAATATCTGCAAATTACTCAATGGGATTATGCATAACCACCCCTACTGTAAAAATGTGCCAATACCCTCCTGAAAAAGTTGACTAAGTTAAGCTTTCCTGGGTAAGAAAGTGTCACAATATGGCCCAGACATAATAAGACAGACAGCACTACATCATTTCGGCGTAAAGTGTCTAAATGTCCATACAGGTTGTTGGGTTAGATCGCGTAAATAGAAATGTGTCGTTAAACCCGCCACCACCCAACACGGCCAATTAGTAAGGTTCGTTGCGTAAATAAAACATGCCAATTAAATACTAGTACAGCAGTGTAAATCCACACTTACGCTCGAGTATTCGAATTGCAAATGTTATGGGTTTACTCTACACCACACCGGTGTACTGTCCTAGTAACTAATTGGCATGTTTCGTTAACGTGACAAACCTTACTAATTGGCCGTGTTGGGTGGTGGCGAGTTTAACGACATTTCTATTTACGCGATTCAACCCCAAAAAAACGATACTATGGATATTGATCGCGAAAGCCTACGTGTTAAACTGTCCCACTATGTACTAACATTCATGTACTAGGCCAGGGGTCGGCAACCTACGGCTCCGGAGCCGCATGCGGCTCTTTACGGGCTGCTTCTTGACGATATGTACGTGAGTGTATGTACTCAGATGCATTGCGGCTCTTGAAATACTGAATTTTGTACCGAATTGGAAAGAAATGGCTCTTCTTGTTATTTTGGTTGCCGACCCCTGTACTAGGCAGTCTGCAACCCAAAGAAAATGGTAGACGCCATCTCCTACCATTAGACGGAGCAGTGCACAGACTCACCGCTGAAGCCCAGGACTACATTACTTTGCCATGGTCGTAAGGAAATATATTGCTTTAAAAGTCTCCCTCTCATCAAGCAGATGAGCGCTACGTGGCGCTCATTTCGGACAGTGGACTCAAAGCCGCTGCTGCAAACTCCACATTCCTATGGCGGGGACTAAAAACTCTACAGAATGGCAAACGCCAACAAAACATTAAACGTGATCTATTTACATGTTGTAATAGTTCACGTAACTGCAGGTAACACATTACGTACGTATTAAAATGTGTCTCGATGGTTAGAGAAACTAAAACCACGTGTATGAACCATTGGAGGAAACTCCACATTCATAGTGGGGACTAAGAAAGGATAACGAGCAGGAATACAAAAAAAATGTACACTAAGTTAATGTAACACGTTAATAAAATACACTCCGCATAAGCATGTATTAATATAGTAACATTTATATGATTAAGCCCATGTGTAAAATCCACTATGGCGGGAACCAGCCATATCTCCACAGAACTACCCAACGCTTATTTTGTGATCAGTTTTAATTATACAACCAATATTGAGTAAGGTAATAATTGATTTTTAAAAATTAGTAGCGATGTGAAGTATAAAATGGATGCTTTACCGAGCTGATAACAGTTCAATGACCACGTTACAGAGCATTACTATTCTATTAACGCGAGACTACTGCAAACATGAAACTACAAATACACGTATAGTTAAAACACCGTTACAAGTGATATTCAATAATGATAAAGTGATCATTCACTTTATCATTATGATAAAGTGATCATTCACTTTATCATTACGACAGTGCCGGCTATTTAGTCACCACGTGAAAGCCCATCGACAACGCAAGACCGTACAAACACAGCTTTACGACTTTTACAACCAAGTTTGCACCAATCACGACACAAATTACGCATCAAACATGCAGACAAAAATCGCGCGCAGATAGAATTAAGCCAATTAAACAAAACACTTTACCAGACACCACACGATGGCCACATGGCGCTAGGCTAGAACAGGCCGCGGCGCCCGCAACGGGCCCAGACTACTCCCATTAAACATTTACACCAAACAGCAAGCGCCGAGCCGCGTCAGCTCTCCATCGCGGGACTCCGCGGGGCACAGACGTTCATTCCGAGAGGAAGCGGTGAAGGTTAACGCGATGAAGACGACCGAAACGCGCGGCTCAGACACGGACCTGCGTCGCCTCTCGCTCAGCCGCAAGATGGAGGCGAGGGGGAAGAGGGAGGGGGAGGGGCGCGCGATTGTATTTCCCACTGCGCACGAGCACCGCGCGCCCTGCTGATTGGTCGGAGCCGCGCGCGTGACGGGGCCCGACGCGGGCAGCTCATTGGTTTAGCGAGCTCGGACTACTTATCCGTGTTGGGAATTATAATACGTATGTCAGGATGCCCCCGCCGCCCCTCCCCTTTCCACGCCACGCCCCTCCCACGTGGCTCGAGTTCGACCAATCGTTGTGGAGCCACGTGAAGCCATCTCAAGCGAGAGGGGAGAAACACGTGGAGGGAGATAGAATTCAGTTATAACTTTTTATAACTCTTAGGTTTTTTCGGTAAAGTCACGTAGGTTTAAAATGAAAAATTACTAAATTTTAATTAAATTATTCTTTTTTACCGACGTGACTTTACCGAAAAAACCTAAGAGTATGAATCCTTGCAGTCACGAAAGCTCAGAGGTCGCAAACGGGTTGTGATTCCTTATCCGTACCCGGCCGCACCAGGGTCGCAAACGGGTACCCGGCTACCCGTACCCGGCCGGGTACGGGTAGCCGGGTATCGGGTAGGGTACGGGTATCGGCTACCCGGTTGCGACCTCTGCGAAAGCTTCAAATCTATAATCATAACTTTTTATTTGATGTGTACCGGAGGAATCCCGATGAGCTATAAAAGCCCAGGTGTCTCCAGTAGGGCGCGGGTCAGAACGTTACAGCAACGAATAATACAGAAACACAATCAGAATCTTTATTTCAGAATCTGTATTTAGTCTGGAGGAATCCGATGAGCTATGAAGCGTTTTTGCGCAGATGTCCAATAGGGTGCGTGTTAGAAAGTTGCAACAATAAATTATAAAAAAACGCATAATCAGAATATTCATACTGGAGGAATCCGATGACCTATAAAGCTCTTTATCACACATGTCCAGTAGGGGCGTGTGAGAAAGTTACCACAATCAAAATATAAAAACACGATAGGAGTACATAGTATAGGAAAGGCAAGCGAATCACTGTACAAATTAACAATTTCGATTTAAGCTTTCGTGACTGCAGGGATTCATCTTCTTGGTTCTTTCGGTAAAGTAACGTAGAATGGAAATAATAAAATAATAATAAAACAATAAACGTCAAGAGATTTTTATTTTATTATGTTTTATTTTATTATTTCCATTCTACGTGACTTTACCGAAAACCATGAATTAACAATTTTTACTTTGAAATAAACTATTTTAGAAGACTGCACAGGTATCGAACCTTATCAATGCTCTCCATCCCGACGTAATATGGCTGCAGAGGGCTCAGTCTGCCCATGCAACGAAAGTACTTTTCGGTACATTTATTAGCCTAAAACACAAACCGCAACGCATTCGTAAGTGTAAAAATAAATTAATGCGACAACGTTTCGGGTGATGGCCCGTCTTCATAGCACATCCACGTAAAATAAGCACAGAAAACTATACACATGAAGGAGGTCCATTGCCTGAAACGTCTCCCCGTGTATACTTTATTTTATTTAAATGCAGTTTTTCCACATGTTAATTTTATTGTGACGGTATAGTGCTTGTGCACAATTGCCAACGAAGCCTCACCATATACAGCAGTGCAGTACTTTAATTCAGTTAAAGTAGAAAGAAGCAAATAGTAAAGTAGCCCAGTCACGATTGTAAAGTCCCTACGTCAAGTTCCAACCAGATGACGACTTATCCGTCTGGTGTTGATAAAAAAAAATGCATGCCAACTTTTGAGAAGTTAATAATGGTTTTCCTATGGATTAACTCGCCCAGTCATAGGAATGTGGAATTTTCATTAGAGGCCGTCCATAAATGACGTCACGCACCTGGGGGGGGGGGGGGGTCAGACATTTGTGACGAGGGGGGGTGAGAAATGTGACATCACATCAAAATGCGCAACTTTAAATAAATATAGACAACACGTTCTACTTATATTCTTGGTTCTTTCGGTAAAGTCACGTAGAAGAAAAATAATAAAATAATAAAAGTATAAAATAATAAAAATATAAAACAATATAAATTCTCACGACGTTTCGACTGCAACACAAGCAATCATCACCGGGTGTGAAAATTTTCTTGCTGGGGTTTTCACACTTGATGATGATTGCTGCTTATGTTGCAGTCGAAACGTCGTGAGAATTTTAAGTGTTTTATATTTTTAATATTTTAATTATTTCCCTTCTACGTGACTTTACCGAAAGAACCAAGAATATGAATCCCTGCAGTCACGACAGCTTTTAATCAAAACGTTCTAGTTAATTAAATATACGTTTTAATAAATGTTTTCTCCTACAACATCAGAGTGCAGCGGCACATTAAATACGCACTACAATGACAATAGTTTAAAGCGATTTGAAGCATGTTTTATTGGGGGGGGCAGAGCTTTGTGACGTCATATTTGAGGGGGGGGGTCTGACTTTTTGTGACGCCGTGTGACGAAGGGGGGGGGGTCAAAAATCGTCCAAAATCGCGTGACGTCATTTATGTAGCTTAGCCAACTACGCGATTCATCTTTTATGGACATACTGCACACTTACGCTATGGGTTTCTGAGTTACGCACACTCAAGAAAAAAAACTGGAAAATTGTAAAATGTCGATGTTTTAAATATATATCGTAGGTTAACCAACTAAAATCTCAACCTGATGGCGTGACCACGTCATGTCAGCACCCATTGTCACGGGCTGGGCGTAGCCACCTTGAATCTAAGTCAAAGCAGCCCATGGAAGCGTTCAAGAATCCCTGTAGTTAATCCTTATTAAATAATATTTATAAATAGCAATCATTTCCATGTTAATTAATATTTGTTAATAAAAATTTTTTAACGTATATTTGTAATGTTATTATTACTAAGTATTACATATATACGTATTTTGTACATCTGGGGCTAAAATAATGAAATTATACTAATTATTTTCTTCGGTAACACACCCCCTCATAACATGCATGTCTATGGGAAAAATGGGTTTCATACAGCGCGATTCGACTTACGCGCTGTTTCTCAGGAGCGCATGTCCTGGCGTTGCGAGACGGACACATGTGGTTAGCACGCTGCACCTGGTGACTTCTGAGTTTCATCTCCGGCCCCAGCTAACATCAGTTGGTGAGTGAACTGGTCCTGGGCGCCCACCTTCCCTTCATCAGCCCGTACTGACCAGCGTGGAGAAAACACATTCTTGCTGCGGAGGGAGCTGGTAGGAACGTTGGGTTGCTCGGTCAATGGCCGGGGTCAACGGCGGCGTGGTGTATTCCGCAAATATCCCCGACTGTGAGGGCGGGCACAAGCCGGCGTGAGTAGGTTAAACGTTGAGTTTTATAAGGGCACCACGGGGTGACCAGCCCCTCCCTACCCAGCCCCACCCTCCCACCCAGCCCCTCCCCACCCTCCCCTCCCCATCCAGCCCCACCCTCCCCACCCAGCCCCTCCCCACCCTCCCCTCCCCACCCAGCCCCACCCTCCCCATCCAGCCCCTCCCCACCCTCCCCTCCCCACCCAGCCCCTCCCTCCCCGCCCAGCCCCTCCCTGCACGACGGACACAATAATCCCCTGTGGGCTGGTGTAACCAGGAGGTTCCTACCAGTATATGGTCGCAGATAACTTTTATTCATATTCTTTAGGCTCTATATAACCCAAGGCTCCATTTGAAAAAAAGGTCACTCAGTCTCAGTGGGGCTTTTTCCTGGTTTTCTTTCTGTTTGGCCGTTTCATTAGACGAGGTAAACATTTGAATCTCTCATAGAGAAGTACAACGCTTCGTGTTAGATAACTTCCTACGGAAGTGGATATCAATGGGCTACCTCAGAGCGCCCTTTCATTTTACCTCTGGTCCACAGAGTATGGGGAAGCACTTTCCAAATGTCTTTGCATATGAGTGATATTCGTTGCATGATAGTCAATCTAATATTTTAATTTTTCAGTCATGAAGTTAAGCCAAATTAAGTACAAATTTAATTATGTAGATTTTTTTATGCAGTTTGTTGTGACATGGCTAAGACAATGAATTACTATAGTGAAGAACCTAGTTAAATCCTCGATTCAAACCTTTGAGTGATGTTGTTTGAAAAGTGAATGTTTAATACTTCTTGATTTGATGTGTATGGATTGCTGCAGTCACGAAAGCTTGAAATCAAGTTTAGTGTCCTCTATTGTCAAACATAAATTACTTTATATTGCCAATGCTAAAACCTGATTTATAAATTACTTTAATTATTGAAACGAATGCAATACTCTTAACTTTAAGAACATGATTCAGTATGTTTTGGATCATTGAGGATATATTACATAAGCATACGTGTCCACCCATACGGTTTAGCCCGTATTCACGTACAGGCAAATTTAGTGTGCAGGTCTATACGGCGTAAAGCCGTTTCAATAGGGGCAAACATTTTTATTTCGATTTGTTTGTGTTTCTCCCTTGTGATGGGACTTTGTAATATGATGAACGTTGAGATGTATAAGGACACGCGGTGACCAATCAGGTCTGAATTGGTTTGCCATAAGGTCGGCACTGATAAGGGGTAATCGACATTTTGTTGATAATTCAGGATTTTTATCAACAAGTTGAAGACACATCTTGTCCAACATCAAACGTATATATATTTAAATAATTAAAAAGCACTAAGCACAGAAATATCCCGATTTACGTCTTGACGTGTTTATCGTACCGTAGACCAAGTGGAATTAACGAATACAGAAGAATCACACAAGGCGGCGGTAACGAGTACGGATTACACGCTTCATTTGAAATTACAGATGACTATTTAGTACACGCGATTAGTATGAAAATTATGTTTATGTTTGGCACAGGTAAAACCAGTTGGGCAATAGATGTGAATTTTTAAGATGGGAACAATTGTCTCTTAATTTCCGTTGAAGAGCAACGGGTTCTGTAACGGTCCACATAAAACACCAAAGGGGCCGGCCATAAATGACGTCACGCGATTTTGGACGATTTTTGAACCCTCCTCCCCGTCACACGACGTCACAAAAAGTCAGACCCCCCCCTCAAATATGACGTCACAAAGCTCTGCCCCCCCCCCAAAACCATATTTCCATTTTGAAAATGAAACATGCTTCAAATCGCTTTAAACTATAGTCATTGTAGTGCGTATTTAATGTGGCGATGCACTCCGATGTTGTAGGAGTGTTGTTATAACAATTCGTGTTGTTATAACAATTCTATATTTATTTAAAATTGTGAATTTTGATGTGACGGAACATTACTCACCCCTCCCCTCGTCGTCACACATCGTCACAATTGTCTGACCCCCCCCACCCCATAGGTGCGTGACGTCATTTATGGACGGCCCCAAAGTATTATTTTACTCCATATAGTAAAACCACTCTGGTCTGCGCTTCTTCAACGGAGGAAGAATAGCACAACGTCTCTCTCTCTCTTCTGAAGCCTTCTCATGGGCGAGCACACAGCGTTGGTGTACGGTGTTTTTTTCTGCAATATTTTGCTGTCTTTTCTTGGATTTTCTGTTTGCACTTAGTCACATATTCACTTTAAGATGTTTTTTGTTCATGTTTTTGTTTTTTGTTTGTTGCGGTTGCACCCGATTCAAGAGCCGAATGGCTCACAGGGCTCTATACCTAATAAACGAACTTGAACTTGGTATTTAGCTCCCGCAAATTTCGCTGCTGCCATGCATGTATATATGTTGAACTTCTTTCATCATCGTATGTAGACAAACGTTCTATTCGGAGGAGTGGGGAAAGGACATCATAGGCAAGCGTAGAATAGTTCATCCGCTCAGTGGCACTGGCGAACCAAAGTGTTAAACGACTGCCGTTTGTTAACCGGGATTTTAGTGCGACTTGTCACACTGTTGATGAGACTTGAACTTTGAACAATTTACATTCATTGCAGGCAGGGTTTTCTACCTTTGTAAAAAAAAATGCTGCTTAAAAGCATTGAGCAGAGTAACAGAAAGTGACAATTGCCGTCATTGTGGAGAATATAGGTAACGAAATATATGAGCAGACGATAAGTATACTCCAGTGGTTCTCAAACTGGGGGTACGTGAGGTGATGTCTATACGCGTGTGAAATGATATCTTACACGAGAGTCATTGTTGAGTATGAATCTGCCAATATAAAATAACTACGATAAAATGTTAATCCATATGGTAGCCTAGCAGAATATAAAAGACCTTTATAAACTCATTGATCGTAAACACATTACGTCCTGCATGCAGAGGCCTCCGTTGATTTTAGTTTTATTCGCCGCTTGCAGTTACTAGCTTAGGTCATACCTCGCAAAATTAACAATCGTAAAAAATATTGACGTTCATGAATGAATGACATTTATTTCTAAAAAACCATGTTGGATCAGGCAAGGGGGTTGAATAAGAGGGTTATCAGTGGCTAACAAATGTTGACAACCACTGGTCTACTCCTTCTCCACAAAATAAATACAATTAATTTAAAGTACTCTTCTTTGGTTCTTTCGGTAAAGTCACATAGATCGAAAAAAAAGTAATAATAAGTAAAGTGGATAAAAACACAAGCGGTCATCATCAGGCAAAGGAGTTAGCCTCCAAAGGCAAACTGTTTATAAAGATCTGTGGATGGGCGTAGCCCAAGTGTATCAGCAGCACCAGGAGCATGGACGGTACAGCAATGCCATTGCAGCAACAATGCCAATGCAGCAACAATGCAAATGCAGCTACAATGCCAATGCAGCAACAATGCAAATGCAGCAGCAATGCCAATGCAGCAACAATGCCAATGCAGCAACAATGCCAATGCAGCAGCAATGCCAATGCAGCAGCAATGCCAATGCAGCAATGGGCCTCCAAGCAATCATTGCATCTAGCTCCACACACCCACACTGCTGACAGTGGAGGCTGACAAGAAAACACAAATCAAGTCATGACCCAAAGTGGCTAATGACATCTTTCCAATGATTGCTGAGTCTATAACCTTCCTCTCGGTTGAAATTGTATCTGTGTCTGTATATATGGATGGCTTCATGAACGAATCTTTGTTGATAGCCAGTCGGCTTGCAAAGTACCATCGTCTTAGAGAAATCAATTTCATGTGAGCCAGCCGCATTAAAATAATGATCTGCCATGGCAGAAGTATTGGTCCTACCGTGTTTCAAATCTGCCTTATGTTCACGAACACGGTCCGAGACATGTCGCTTAGTTTCCCCAATGTAACTGCAGATACAGCTTAGTTTGTAGATGCCGGGATATTGCATGTCAGGAATCTTGTCCTTCACAGATGGGATCAGATCACGAATTATATGTACTGTGTTAAATCGGACTTGGATCTTGTGTTTATTCACGATTTAGGAAATATTTTTGGTTACCCCTGCTATGTATGGCAGGGTTATGGTTTTGATTGGATCTTCAGATGGGGTGATGGTTTTGCGGATTGTGTAGTCAGAATATCCATTCGCCTTGAGAGCTTGGTGTACGTACGGGTTTGATTTCACTGATTTAAAGCTTTCGTGACTGCAGGGATTCATCTTCTTGGTTCTTTCGGTAAAGTCACGTAGAAGGGAAGTAATAAAATAATAAAAATTATGTTTTATTTTTATTATTTTATTACTTCCCTTCTACGTGACTTTACCGAAAGAACCAATAAGTTTATTTCACTGGTTTAGGCGTTCATGGTCGGAGATACATTGAGCTCTATGGTGTAGCGTTTTGATGGGGGAATTCTTCTGGGATGGATGGTGGTGGGAATCAGGTTTTATGTAGGCGTCAGTATGGGTTACTATACAGTGTACTTTAATTTGTTATGCTGTACTTTTATTTGGAGAGAAAGTAACATTTTTAAACGTACTATGAAGAAGGGTTATTGCCCGAAACGTCGACTATTAATATATATTTAAAGTCCACGGTGTTATTGACGCGTGCGTTCAATTGGCTTGTCACCGTTGTTACCAGTTTGTTATCGCCTGCACTTAACCCACACCTGTGAGCCCCTTATCAGTGCCCTACATTATTAGAGACCAACTCAGATATTACTGGTCACCTCGTGCCTCTTATAAATCCCAACGTTCACCCCACAAAGTCCCACCATCACAAGGGGAGAAACACCAACAAATAGACAAACCAAAATGTTTTGTATTCTTAGGTTTTTTTCGGTAAAGTCTCATAGGTAAAACATCAAAATTAATTAATTGTTTTATTTTATTTTCATTAATTTTGATGTTTTACCTACGCGACTTTACCGAAAAAACCTAAGAATATGAATCCTTGCAGTCACGAAAGCTTCAAATCTAGAACAAAATGTTTTGCCCGTATCGAAACGGCTCTACGCCGTATGGACCTGAAAACTACATTTATCTGTACAAGAATAAACGGTATGGGTTTGACAGCTTAGCTACGTGAAACCCAACCATTGGGTTAGAACGCGTTAACATAAATGTGTCGTATTCTTAGGTTTTTTCGGTAAAGTCACGTAGGTAAAACATCAAAATTAATGAAAATAAAATAAAACAATTTTCATTAATTTTGATGTTTTACCTACGTGACTTTACCGAAAAAACCTAAGAATATGATTCCTTGCAGTCACGAAAGCTTCAAATCTAGAATAAATGTGTCGGTTGGCGAGTTTAACGACACATTTGTATTTACGCCATCTAATATTATCTATATTGGTCGCGAAAGCCTACGTGATAAACCAATACGGAATTCCAAATCGATGGCCCAAAAGTTGTCTTTTGAGCAGGCACCACCGTTGTGGAGCGCCGCGGCCACCTCGCGCCGGTTGGGGGGGGGGGCGTGAGGGGCGGGGCGAGGGGGGCGGGGCGTGAGGGGCGGGGCGAGGGGGGGGGCCGGGCTGGGGTCCTTCGAAGTGGTGTTTTCGTCAAAGATGGCGGACGCGAACCCCGGGTGTTAAATGACCGTCAGGAGCCTCGCCTCCATCTGTACAATGGTGAGCGCCGCTCCCTCCTCCGCACCTCAAAGCGCTCGTTCAACTCGCCGCGAATGCTCCGATGCTGCGGGCCCGCCGCTGTTTGTACGGCGGGGTCTTTGCAAAGGAGGCTGGAGTGGTGGGGGTAGACTGTGTCGCGACTAGGCCTCTGCGATGCCTGTCGATTTTCCTGAATGTCGTGCCCGGGAGAGATGCCCGAGCCTGGCCCTGAGAGCCCCGGTCGCCGCCCTCTCTTGGAAGGAAGGCCGGGGAGGCGGGAGAATTAGTGCGTGCGCATGTGTGAATGAGTGTGTTGCGTGCGTAGTGATGCTGTGTCTGCAGCTACGCGTTTGGGTTTAGGTGAAGGGGCCGCCGACTCGGGCGTGTGAGTTGGGTGGTTACTTTCTGCGGAAGACGACTTTCTATGAATGTGGTGGCGGGCACCAGTTGAGTTTGTGTGTCTGTGCGTGATTGCGTGAGTGCGTCTGTATTGTACGCGTGTGTGTTTGTGTTGTTTGTGTGCACGTTTGTTCGTGTCTTGAGTTTGTGCGTGGGCGTGTGGTGTGTCTGTGCGTGTTTTTGTGCGGGTGCGCCTGTGTGTCGTGGTTGTGTTTTAACGTGAATGTGTCTGTAATGCATTTCTCTATATCTATGCCCTTGCACGTCTTTTTTATTGTGTATATATGTATTTTGAGTTTGTGTATGTGTGCGTTTGTGTCTTATGCGTCCATCATCTCAGTCCGTCAACCAGCTATAGCACCTGGGTCTGTACCGTGACCTGCCAGCGAGCATTCGATACTTCACGTGTCTTTAAAGTGCACCTAGCCTGGCACAAGCGACGTGGTGACGTTACTGCCACTTCGTGGCGAATGGCGGCTGTTGTGTCTTTGTGCGTATGTGTTTCACCCTTAACGAATCTTCGTGGGTTTCTGTGTGTCTTTCTACGTGTGTCTTTTGTAATCGCCGTGTGTATTATGTGTTTACGTGCGTTGATGTCTGGGTGTTTAAATGCGTGTTTCTGTGTCTGTGTCCGTCTCTGCGTGTACGAGCGTCTACGCACATCAGAGTGTATGTCAATTACTGTTGCTTCGTTACACCTCTTGTGCGATTGGACGCCCAAAGACACAGCCATGCAAATAGAGTAGCGTGAGGTTAATAAGTCGGAGAGGAAAGGGAGGTAATCGTAACGCGACAGATCTATAGATATCAATGACATAAAAAGAGATGTCGGATAAACATGGAAGAGGTGAATACAGTCGAGGGTTACCGGTGTAAATAAAGTGACTGGAATAAAAAAAATTGTAATTACTGTCAATGACTGACTGTCTGTTATCAGTGGAAACCTCACTGAGTCTCAAAGCCCTCTTTTCATGGGGTTACAGCATTGTGATGTTTGACCCGTTGGGGACTTGATGGCGTTTTAATGTGACAGTCGTAAGAGAACTAGACGTAACGTAACAGGTAATGGTTGGTGTAGCGTTGCTGGTTAGCCCACACTTTGTTAACCGGAAGGACGCCGAACGTGGTTTACACGGCACTGAAATCGAATTCGTGGTGAGATACTGTTCAGAAACCAATCGTGTAACATTTTACAGTGCTTTGTAATGGGATGGGTAGGGGGTGGTCTGTGACACCAGCCACGTGTATCACTTGTGTTCGTCATGCGTTGTGAATAGTCGTAGAGTCACGTCTCATACTGTAGTTAGGGCAGTGAAGCAAGGGGGTCAGTTTCGCTGCACACTAATGAGCCCCGGCAATGCCCATTACCTTAAAGAAAAAGTATTGGAAGTGACATGTTCAGTCTCTTATTCATTCGACCCCTCTTGACCCCTATAACAAGTGGAGCAGTTCACCGTGTTGGGTTCAGTTTACGTACCCAAGAGGGATCATTGGCCGAGTTGACCATTATTTGAACGTGACCCCTCATTGCGTCCAAGTGTCATCCAGTCCACTGCTGATTGAAAAATCCCATTTGTGTACGTGTAAAGGTGTTTGTTCACACGCACTACGTATGTTACCATGAAGTGTGTTCTAGTCTGTATATGTATAACACGTGTTGACAAGTGTCTCTGCAAGTGTACTGTTTGTGTTTAAATGTAAAATACGTTTGCTCTGCCAAGTCAAAGTGTCTCCCAGAACCTATGAAGAGGGTGCTAATCTTCGTCATGAACTGTGGGACCACTCTTCGCATAGGATGAACACTGTTGGGCTCTCATGAAGTTTAACTCTTTTTATTAAAGTGAATTGTAACAAATTAACTAATTTAACAGCGTGAGAAGCGGGCATTGTCAATTATCGCTGTGAGAAGATGCAATGTAAAAATTGTGTATTGACCGTGACCTGATGAAGCATGCAAATGCACTTTGAAATGTCTCCTCTTTTTCCTCAGGGCGCTAATGCCTCTGCTTTGGAGAAAGAGATTGGTCCTGAGCAGTTTCCTATCAATGAGCACTACTTCGGCCTGGTTAACGTGAGTACCATGCCCTCCTTTGGTGGGCGCGCGGAAAAAAATTGTTGTTGCTCTTGTATCGTGCTCCCTTATCCGTTTTTCATATTGTGGTGCCTTTTCCTCTTTTGAGATGAGTGCTCTCAGCACATATGTTTAGGAGTCCAATAGCTCTATAGCAAGGGGAAGAATGTAGCATCATTGATTTGTAAACACTAAAGGCATTTTGTAGAGGTTATTATTGTGATAAAATAAGGACAACTAAATTAGTAAGGCCACTCAGGGTAGTTTTACGACGTCTATTGACCATTATATTTGGGCACGGATTCAAAACTTGGAAAATGTATTTATTGCGTAATGGCCCATCTGATTATGGTTGTGTATAGATCTTTGGAAAGCCTGAAGTGCTTTGGAAAATAAGGAAGGAAAAGTTGGTCAGCATGGCATGGTGCCAGATTTTAGTAATTACAGATGCTGGAAGTCTTTGCTTTGTTTACTTAACAAAACCACATTCTCCTTTAAACAAAAGACAATGGCAGCATTATCCTTTGCATTGATGAAAAAATCATACGCCCCTCCCTATTACATGGAGTTTTTTTTGTTGGTAAGTAGTTTGCACGATTTTTTTGCCAGACTTTGCTTTACAGTGCATCCACGTAACAACTTGGCAAGATATACTGTCCTTCATATAATCGTTTTGGAGGATCCCTAAACATTTACAAAACTGGATTTTCCAAGCTCAAAAATTCAACAGCATACAAAACAATGCTGACTTGTAACTGCCTTTTCAAGTTGCACAGGAACTTCATGTGCCAGGCGTGCCTAATTTAGCACTGTACAATTACTGCTGCATTGCATTATGCATTTCTAAATTGGCATGAGATTTTGGGTGGTTACAGATGTGTATTCTTACCTGTTTTTATGGGTGTATTTATATTTTCATACGTATAACATTGCAAGTTTAATGTGGACTAAATGGTGTTTACGAAAATATCAGGGTTTTGTTAAGACATTTTTCTGAGGACTTCCACCCTTGATTCAGCCAGGTTATTGGGGATGCATCTATCCTTTCAAATGAGCATTGCTTATCGCCAATGGCAGATTTGAGCCAATTGAGTAAAATCCACCTTCCTATGGCAGAGATCAGACTTTGCACAATACATCCAACATCGCATTCCCATCAAATAATCACCACAAGGGGTAAGTCAACATCCGATTGGGATTGAGCAAACGATTGTAACTTGAGTATTATGCCATGAGCACAATGTGACTTCAGTTTGTATACTATAACAGCGAAATGAAGAGTGATGTTGAGACATTCGTAAGTGAATGTTTGGCAGCATCGTTGCCAAAAAATAATTTGCACACGTGTGCCTGTGTGTAGTTGGGCTCTGGTAAAAGTAGACTCCAGAGTATGCACGCACAACAAGTCTTGCCAAACAATCTCTGTGATTAAAAATGAAACTCCCGTATGAAAATGAAATGCACACTCACTTTTTTGAGAAACGTCACGTCAAGTCTTGCAGGCTTACTGCCCGGTATTTCGGCTTGCTGTGAGAAGCACTGATGCAGACATTTCTGCAGTCTACGGGCACCTGAGAGCCATGGTGCAGGAGCAGCTTGTGGGGCACTCGTCCATCAAGTTTGTTTCAAGCCACTGCTTCCGTGTTGCATGAAAAAGCAGTCGCTTTAATAACGTTCCTGGTGTGGCATTCGTGACCCCCAAATGCGAAAACAGGCCAAATAAGGATCGGACTGCGATCCATTATGAAGGCTCAATAGACCTTACTCGCTCATGTAATGCACATACTGACATACTGTATGTGCAAAATGTTTTTGATAAAAATGCATTTGCATACCATTTTTATGTTATATTCTTTGGGTCTTTCGGTAAAGTCACACAGATAGGTTCAAAGAAAATAACAGAAAAATCACAAAAAACTACGATACTTCGATCGCAACACAAGCGTTCGTCATCAGGAAGAGGGGGTTAGCTTCTAAAGGTAAACTGTTTATAAAGATTTGAAATGGGCGTAGCCAAAATGTCAGCAGCCAATGTTAATGTAAGTGGTGGGCAGCGGCCGTGGTGGGTTTTGCCACCAATCAAAGGGCTGCCCAGTAAAAATGATCATGATAATGTAAGATCGTTGAAGTGGCTATGTTAAGGTGAGATTATTATTTTCTTTGAACCTATCTACGTGACTTTACCGAAAGACCCAAAGAATATGAATTCCTGCAGTCACGAAAGCTTTAAGTCGCCATTTTTATGTTTTTCGACTGGTTTCTATAAACCAGATGTAGCATTTTTATTTTTAACATCCTTGTTTTAGACTGTCATAGAAAAAAACTGCCCTTGCGACAGCTGTTTATTTCTCATGGAAACGTAATTGCAGCCTGTGTAAACTGTTCATGATTGGTCTTTTGTGTGGCTTGTGCGTAATTTGCAGGGCACGTTGAGCATAAACTGGATGCACAACTGCATATTAATGCACACAACTAAATGCTACAAAAATATTACCGTGCATTTGGGTCCACTTAGTATCACGCTGCTACTCCTGTTGTTGATCACATCGGTGCGGGATTTTTAAATAAGCTTGCCGTTGACGTGAATGTAATCAAGGTGGTTACACAGCAAAGAGGCGTCTGCTGCCGCACAATGTAATCGGGTGGCGATATGAACTTAAGTGATGCGAGCATTTTGCAGGCGCATGTGTGCATATCGCCGCTGAGTCCTCTACGGGATTGGCCCTATCATTCTGCTTGCATCTTTTCCGTCGTGAATGAGATGAAGACATTTCCATCTATTCACCCCGACTTGTTAGCATCACAGATTCACTTTAGAATTCACATCAGGAATCTCGTATCCATACCCTTACCTTTCCTGGAAATAATTATCATCACACGGCAGTTAAAACAGTAAACGTTTAGCTTCCAGAATTCTAACTGGCTAGATTGAGTGAAGACCTCAATGTAATATTCCGATGGTTTTTTTTGTGTTGTCATGGGCTGAGACATCAACTGTCAGGCACGTGACAACCTGTGTTTTTATGGTGGCTGGATTTGGACTCAAAATTTCAGTGGTGTCAGTTCAGTTTAATGACAAACCACACGTCCTAAGCTGCTGCTGCATAGTCCTGGCTGTAGCCAGATGTGGTGGTTTTTCCTCATTTAGGTTTTTTCCAGTGGCCTTGGGAAGGGCAGAGATTAGTTGTGTACACCTTGCTAAAAATACAACAGCATCCTGTGGTGCGCTGTGTCCTCAATGCAGCAGCAAGGGACACCTGTTGGTTGGTGGGCGGTTGAACAATCTCGTGGTCAGTGCGTTTGTTACTGAGCAAGCAAGCAAGCATCGGGTTGGCAGTTCGATTCCAGCGGCTACCTCGTAATATACCTATATTTCCACTTACAAAAGAGTGCTGTGAACTCTGAAGTGGACATTGATGACCCTGTGTGACATTGATTGGCAAGAGTAGACTGTTGTGTGATAATGTAATAACCAAAATTCTGAAACTACCAGCAAAACAGAAATTGTAAAGTTGTAATTATCAATGGATTTTGTGGCCAGAGTCTTACAGACAGACTTCCATACCGAACAGGAGGATTTCTTCACTAATACGGCTGTCGCCTGATGTTGCTGGTTGTAATGACTGGCGAAACGGCATACTCGAATTGTAAATGTTGTGGGTTTACTCTCCAACACACCGGTGTATTTTACTAGTGGTGAATTGGTATGTTTTGTTTACGTGTTAAACCTTGCTAATTGGGTGTGTTGGGTGGTGGCGGGTTTACGCTATCTCACCCAAAAAAACCTCTATTATGGAAAAGGAGGTGATTACTGTCAATGGATACTTGTTGAACAATGCATATCATTAATTTAAACATGTGACTGGCATCATGAATGTAAATTATAACCAGATGGAAAACTATTGAGGTGCAACACGGTATTTATATATATATAGGACACACACATCCATGAGCTGAAATAGCACAAATGTGCCAACACGACCATTGCGAGACGATACCAATTTCATAAACTAAAGTTCACCCCTTGTGGAAGGGGGGAGTAGCCCGGTTAATATTTAATTCTTGTAAATATCAACGTCCAAAACATTTCTTGGCAGGGTAAGTGAGCAAACTGGTCGTGGAGGCATCGACTTAACATTTGTGTGCACTTTGAGTTACCTTCCGAAAATCTAATGGCGGGCCATTTTAAATTGACTGGGCTCGTGTAAAACGTTGGTTCGGATTATTTAGAAATCCACATGAGCACCGAACATTCCACGCCAGTGTTTTGTGTAGTTTTGCCGTCGTATTTGCTGTGCATGGCACAATGAACATATCTCAGAGGTTGATGCTGTGTGGATTGTGCCGGAGCTGCAGGATATGGCACAAGGGAAGAAGTGATTGGCGGGTGTGCTCATTAAAAGCATCGCTTGTGCTGTTGTTGGTGACACGCTAAAATTCGCTGAACGCTTCAAATATGATCCACATCATGTTCTGAACATGTGATCTCTGCGATATAGTTCATTATCATGATATAATATATCAGTAGCTATGCGAGATTGAGCCTGATAGTGCTGGGACGGGTGACACAGTGGGATGTTAAAGGCTGCTACAGTGCTTTGTGATGGGCATCAGAGGAGTGCTGCACAATCCATTGTTGTACTATACTTCTATACCTCCACATATATGCTCTCCCGCCTTTAAGCTGCATTATCCAGTGTGGTGACGTGTGGTTAAATAACTCCCACAGTCTGCGTGGTGTGGGGAGGCCCTCGTGTGCTTTGGGATGAGTGGCGTCTGGAGTAAGTTCACTCGTCATAATTATGGTCCACAAAGATGGGTGCACAGCAATCCCCTGGCTGCTTTGCAGACCAGTAGGTGCGGGCTAAGTGACAAATCAAAGTGCTCCGTCGACCTTTGCCCCCTAAACCTCCGGGTCACGGGCAGAGGCGTGCACCACCACGCCCAGCCTTCGAGGTTGTATTTGAATGTCGTTGACGCATTATGCCGTCTGGATATTG